GCTCATTGTTTGTGATTCTTTCCGGCCATCTAATCTTCAGTATAGAACGAAGACAGTTGTTGATAAAGGTCTGCAGCCTGTTGAAAATATTCTTGGTGACCCGCCAAGTTTCTGATCCGTATAGCAAAACTGACTTGACGTTTGTATTGAAAATCCGTATTTTGTTGTTGATGCTGAGTGACGAAGATTTCCAGATTGGTTTCAGGTTGATGAATGTGTTTCTTGCCTTCCCGATTCTCGATTTGACATCCTCGTCCGTTCCTCCTGTAGTTGAGACAATGCTCCCTAGGTAAGTGAAACAAGTAACCTCTTTCAGATGCCTCCCGTTGATGGTGATTGGCGCTGGATGTTGCTGCTGCTGTTGTTGTTGGTTGGTTATTTTCATAACCTCCGTCTTGTCTATGTTCACCTGGACTGTCCTGTCTTTGCTGCTTCTTCGACCAGTTTGTCGGTTTTCGCTTGTAAGTCTTCGATTTTGTGTGACATCAAACATAAATCATCCACGCGCGAAATCCAGGTCTTCTAGGTTCTTCACGTCGGTCCAGGATATCCCTGTCTTCTCGTTTTCCACTGTCTGATGCATGATCCAGTCCACCACAATTAGGAATATCATTGGTGATAATAAGCACCCTTGTCTGACTCCTGTGTTTACTCCAAACGCCTCACTGAGTTTTCCGTTGTGGATCACTTGACATGTGCCGTCGTCGTACAGTTGTTGAATGAGGTTGATGAATATTTGGGGTACGCCGTAGTACTCTAGTAGTTTCCAAATTACTTAGCGGTCAACGCTGTCGAAGGCCTTCTCAAAGTCTATAAAGTTGAGGTAGAGATTTGATTGCCATTCCATGCTTTGTTCGATGATAATGCGTAGAGTTGCAATTTGGTCAGAACATGATTTGCCTTTCCTGAATCCAGCTTGTTCTGGTCGGAGTTCTGTATCCAGTGCGTCCTTTATTCTCTCCAGGATGATGCGACTCAGGATTTTACTTGGCGTCGACAGGAGCATGATTCCTCGCCAGTTCTTGCAGAGTCCTAGGTCGCCCTTCTTTGGTAGTTTCACCAGGTAACCTTTCCTCCAGTCAGTAGGCACCTTTCCCTCTTTCCAGATCTTTTGCAATAATGGAGTCAGCATATCTGCCGTCGTTTCTGGGTCCGCTTTCAGTGCTTCCGGGGGTATTCCATCTGGTCCAGCTGCTTTTCCAGCTTTCAGAAGCTTGATTGCATTCAAGTCTTCAGCTTTCGTTGGAGGATTGGTGTCAGCTTGCAGTTGTGTACGTGCTGTTGTTGGTATTTCTGGACGGGTTGTTGGTGGTGGTCGTTTCAAGAGTCCTTTGAAGTGGTCCGCCCATTGTTTAATCTGTCTTTCTTCTTTGGTAATTGGGTTCCCTTGGCTGTCTTTTATAGGTTTCACTTGTGTTGATCTCTTCCCGGATAGAGACTTGGTTATCTGATATAGTGTCCTTAGGTCCCTTTTGCCTGCTGCCTTCTCAGCTTCAGTAGCCAGGTTGTCGTAGAATTGTCTTTTGCCCTTCCTGGCACTCTTCTTCACTTCTTTGTCCAGTGCTGTGTAAGTTGAGTTCAGCGTCTCTTTCTCTCGTCCATCTTTGCATTGGATCATTTTCTCTTTCACCATTCTCCTCTCCTCTATTAGCTTCCAAGTGTCCGTTGAGAGCCATTCCTTGTCTTGTTTCTTCTTTCTTCCTAAAACCGTTGAGCACGTTTCGTTGAAAATTACCTTCAGAGAGTTCCAATGGTCTTCCACGGATGATTCCTCAGTGGTGCCACGTAGTGTTTCCTGCTTTGCTCTGACAGCTGCAGTGAAAATGTTCTGTGTGATTGTGTCCTTCAGTTTTTACGTGTTGAACTTGCATTGTGGCCTATCCCCAGCTATCCTCGAGGCTTTCAGCTTCACCTTGAAAGTCCCTTGTACTAGATAGTGGTCTGAACCCACATCTGCTCCTCTCCTCGATCTTGTGTCCAGTAGGCTCCGTCTCCACTTCCTTGAGATTGAAATGAAGTCTACCTGGTTTTTGGTGTGACCATCTGGTGAAATCCATGTTGCCTTGTGTATATCCCTGTGTTTGAACACACTGCCACCAATCACCAAATCATTGAAGGCGAAGAAGTCTGAGAAGAGTTCACCATTTTCGTTCATTTCACCGAGGGCCTCACGACCCATGGTGAGTTCTCTTCCTGTATTGTCTCCTCCCAGTTTCGCATTCATGTCGCCCATCAGGATTTTGATATCGCTCTTTGGGACGTTGTCCATTACTGTTTGTAGTTGATTGTAGAATCCTCCTTCTTCTCTTTTTCTGAGACGTTTGTAGGCGCATAGCATTGAATGATTGAAGCCTTCCTTCCTTTTGAGTTGAACCTGGCTGTCATTATCCTGGAGGAGATTGGTTCCCACTGCATGAGAGCTTTAGCCGCTGTTGGTGACATAATGATGCCTACTCCCTCGGTGTGCTCGTGATCGTCCTCTGGGTGACCGGAGTAGATTGTTGTCTCTCCAGTTGGTAGTTGGCACCTTCCGCATTCGTTCCATCTGCTCTCGCAGATTCCCAACACTTCTACTTTATATCTCCTCATTTCTGCGGCTACCTGAGCAGCCTTTCCAGTTTCGTACATTGTACGAACATTCCACGTCCCCATCCTTATTTTCGCTTTCATCGAAAGAAGGCACATCGGCTGACTGGCTTCCCGAAGGCTTTCACCAGCCCGCGTCATTTCACTTCCCCGATTCCAGCGAGAAATAAGGTCATTGTTTGTATTTTTAGAATTTAAAATATATTTGTGCGTTAAAGTTTTCGTAGCAATTTGGTTAAGTTTTGGGGGTGGAGTTGCTAGCACCACGCCCTAAACCTCCCTCTTTATCCGGGCTTGGGACCGGCTAGAATACTAGTGACCTAGTAATCTAGGCGAGGTTCTGCCAATAATAACGAATAATAATGTACATAAAAGTCTTGAAATATCTGCTGATTTTCTCAATAAACGATCTGTTGATTGGCCCTTGTCTTCTGTCGTTACAGCAGTACGCAATACTCTCATCATTAGATGCTACCATTGTCTTGATACTGAAGATCAGATAGTCACAAAGAGTAAGTATAAAGCGGACCAACCAAGTACTTATCACCCAAACAATTTGCAGAGGGGAATGGATTAGATATATGTAGAGTGATATCACATGCCCAACCCTCGTCTGAAACGTACATGGGAAGCGACGACTTGGCCATCCTAGGATAACGTGGAGATCATGTGAAGGGGAAACAAAAACTTTTGAGCACTAGTGTAGTCAGCTAAAAAAGATGCTAAGGAACAAAACACAACAGAGAGATTCCACTGTTTCACCCGTAACTCAACGGACGAATGATACAGTATTATATATATATATATATATGACTGGTTTCAACGTAGAACTTTGCACAGATGTCCAGCACTTCAAGTTGCCACACTTCACGTAGCATACACAGCAAAAGAAAGTAAAAAGAGATTCAGAAGAGAGTGATGGAAAAAGAATAGTAATATGGAAGAATAATATGGTCTCCTTGAATATGACAAATCACAAGGAAAGAATGCATCTGTACCATTGAGGACGAATTTGAGAGATATCACCAATTGTCTCCAGCCGTCATTGGTTTTTACCAACTCGATGACCCCAACCACACAAGAAGTCTACACCTCCCAACGTGGCTGGCTTAAACTAACTGTTATAGATTTCATTGAGTAGTGCCATGTTTTGGTTTGACCACCACTAGCCAACTATTTTCCAACTCCATCCACACTATGTCATTTAACATTGACCGTCAGTCAAGGAACGCGATGGCTAAGCATACTTAACACATGTCCTAACCATCTCAATCAATATAACTTCACTGCCTCGTCGATTGATTCTCCCTCACCACCTAGCACTCGACCGAGGCCTTAACTCAATATTGCTCAACCTATTAAACCAATTAACACCGGAAATACAACGCACGCAGGCACCCAAGATCAAAAACAGCTACGAAGTCTTTTCACGTCTTCCCCTTTCAATGCCCATGTTTCAGTCACAGACGTAAAGGAAGACGGAACGAACTGCTGGGGAGTAGTACACACGTCCTGCGCTGAGGCGCAATACACACGACAGCTGGATACCACGTCTATGTCAGAGATGGCGTAAGTTGGCACATACCAAACGAGCCTTCTGTATCCCAGCTGAGACTTCGTCAGCGATCAACCCACTGACACTGACTGATGCAACTTCCCAAATAAGTGAAGTGGTCAACATGCTCCGCCAACCACTTCACTCTCTATCTTTAAACTAGGAATGAGTCAATGTAGCATCATCCTACATTTGACAGCAGGAGCAAATGGCATGCAAAACATCCAAAGATTGCAGCCCAAGGTGTTCAGAAGACTGAATTTTGTCAGCGTCTTCATATATATATATATATATATATATATATATATGATACTGTTGACGAAACCAATTAGCTATAAAGATAATAGTAAATGAATCACATTTCTAACCTGTAAGCCACTGTATACAATTCACGGATTTATAGCACTACAATCAGTATAATGTGCTCTCCACTTAATCTGATGTGGAAAACAATTTCAATAACCTTAAAGAGCCAATATACACTACACTTATTGTCAACGTCACATAGTTTAAAAGCGTACTTAACGAGACGAACTGAATTGGACGCAAAATGAAGACGTCAACACCGTTTTCAGTCTACGTTATCAAAAGAACAACAACAACAACAACAAAAAGTTGAACAGCAGTGTCTCTGCTGCATTAGAAATCTCAATGATAATAATAGTAATAATGCAACATTTAAAATGACATTTTAAATCTGTATATATAGATATCTTTATGTATGTGTGTATATAACTAATATGAACATAACGATGCATAACAGAAAAACAAAAACTTTTATCTATATTCACCAGGATGATGCGTCGAGGAGGAGCAAAAAGTAAAACGACGAAAACACAATCAAACTTTAAATTGACACAAAAAATAGATGCGCATAAGCTACGCAAGATAACCACAGTCACAATGCATATTCTTTGGTTTAAACATAAATGTGAAAAATAAGCAAAAGTAGAAAACATGAAGATGACGTCTGTAAACATTTGCTCAAACAATAAATTGGTGATAAGAGAAAAAACAGGAAGAGAAGGAACAAGAGCACACACACACGCACTCACATAGAGACGCAAAGACAGCGCGATATACATACATGTATAAGCGTACATAGAGAAAATGGTGGGGGCGTTAAGTGATTTGCGTGATACACCAAATCAATTATTAAATGCTGTATTTACTCATTCATCATAAAGAGAAGAGGCATAAGAAAACTGATTAGTTAGTTATAATAAATGCTCGCGCGAAAACTCCATAAAGAACAAACCAAATTTATAAAAATATGATGTATACATATGTAGTGAGGAATGTAAGAATATCATTGTTCAATGAATGAAGCATGATGCCGAAAAAATAAATGAACAAACTGACAAAAAAAACTCTTAATTATCTAATAGAGGTAAAGAGAGAGAAACGATGTGTTCAAGTACATAAAGTACTATGAATAATTGAATTCTTCTTTGGTTAATCAATGATGAAAGGGTACGCATCTAGGTGCTGGAGTTGACGTATGCGCATATTGTATATCTATACTTGGTGAAACAGGCTGGAAAACAAAAAAGAATTTAACACTATTATTAGCATTATTATTATTATTTTTATTACTTCCATTTTGATCACGAATTTGCTTCACTTAGAGAACCATCGAAAACCAGAGAGTACCGGGAGGCTGTTTCGTCATTGATTTGCACTCTTCATCAGTACGCACCTGTATCCCAACAGGAATCGAAGCTAAAACCTTCAGGATGAAACAGCCGTCCAGTCGGTACCACCTCGTTTCTATTGGTTCTCTCACAGCAGAGCCGATTCATGATCGAAATTGAAAACATTCGAATGTCTGCAAACTAACACTTGTAAATTACTACTACTATCACTATAGTTATATTAGTAGTACATATGAGTAAAGCACAAGTGCGATTATGATATATTCCACCACTAAATTTGTATGTTTGTATTTTGTTTGAACTTTATTACATTTAAATAATCAACTTTTACGTTGTGAGCAGCTGAAGAGAATCCAACGAGATAAATGATGGCCTCACTATTCTGCAGCCAAGTTGGTTCCCGTTTATCCCACAACAAACTCTTTGGCTACAATCAAAGGTGGACAGATACCCTACCTATCTATGTTAACTCTAATTGTGTATACAAGTTTACGTGTATCTGCGGGAGCAGCTACATTAGGAGAACAGAGAGAAGGGAATATCTTAGATTTTCTGGACATGTATCGAAATGTTTACATCTTAAGGAAATAAGTGCTTTGAACAGTGTTATTGCCAGATATCTTGTTGATACGAGCCATCAGGTGGACAATGTGAAATCCTTCAAGATTATTAATAGGTAATACAACTCAACTCTTTCTTCAAAAAGTCTATAAATATTCCCAAATATTAAGTGAATATCAACTATTATATTAACAGAAACTTTCTCGAAATTGAAATGAATAGTTCCATTGTTTCGTTCAGAAAACTGGGTCAGACTTCTTCATCGAAATAATCAAAAGCATACCTCGTCTTCAGAATTCTTGTCCAATCAAGTATGAGTCATAAAGAGACAACAAAAAGTAAATAATTTTGACAATTATTTCCGCGAAGTAGTACCAGTTTGTCTAACGAAACACTGGAATTATCTATTTCATTTTCGATAAAGCTTATATCAATATAATTTTTTACATATGTCTACTTTTCACTCAGCGTCAAATCACTGTAGAACTATTTGGCTACATCTTGATCGAAGTTCGTATAAGTGAATACCACCTAAACTTTGGACTATCTTATCATTGGTACAAACGTTATTTCTAAAGTGAATTTCAAATTCATTCATTATTCTTGTCGTAAACTTTGAACGTATTGCTACCTCATAGATTTCTACCCTTATACAATCAAGTTACTCTGCATCAGACACTATGATCTATACCCATCAGAACACCACTATATTATACATTCAAAGAAACACCTCCTTATTAGGAGATACGTTACTCAGTGTATAAGAGTGAGTTCAATATAAAATGAAGAACGCGAGAAACATGATTCCACTTCACACTTCTGATTTATTGTAATGAATTGGTGAGTGAAGTTGAAATAAAAGCTAGACTAAGATCAAAGTCAAACCAGTAGCTTTAGAATTATCAGCCAAGGAAGTTTCATAACTAAGATTCCAGATCTAATTCACTGGTGGCATATCAAATCCACCCATAAATCAAGTAATTCGCCTACCTTTTATATAAAATCACAGAAATCTGACTGACTGACTGAAGTTTAACCAATACTCCACTAGTAGCTGTGGTTCCGCAATTCCCTGTTTGGACAGCCAAGTCGATAACCCTGAGGCACAGTTACTACTAGACAATCTTTTATCTTATGTGTAATTTTAGCTGAAAAAAGTATACATACCTTGAAACAAGACAATTAGATCTTCAAGCTTTACTTTAATGTATATAGCCTTATACATAAAGATAGTTAAACCAATGACGGTGAATTCGTAAATTAAAAATGAGTGTGAAATATTGTAAATATGTCAGTATGGACGAGTATAGTGACAGCAACATTAATGATGATGATAATGAGATCAATGATAACAAAAGTACAAGCAGTTGACGCAGGTGGCGGTAAGAATAATGAAAACAATTCAACAAATAAATCAGGTCATAGATCTTACATAATCAAAAGTTACATAATACTAGAGATGAAGTGGATGGATATAGATAGACAATCCGAGTCAAAATAAACATAGAGGTATGAAAGAAGTGAAGAATAAGAAAAGGTATGAAGTTTTAATTAGTTCATTGGATTTACCCCGACCGAAAGCTGCTACCTTGACGTGGTGGTCGGGCTTGAACACCGCAATGACCCAACAAGCTATACTGGCTGAGACTTATGTCGCTTGAGGTCCTACCATGCCAGAAAGGTTGTTTGGATAGCGGTTAGACAAAAAGCAGTTACCCAATCCAATGCTATGACTCAAACAAAATCACAGAATATCATGCCGGATCGGTCGGGGCCCGGATTAACAACGATCGCGCTTCCTGCTGCTGTATCACAGGACAAAAGTGATAAATATTCTACTGAGACACACCAAATAAAAAAGAATAAACAGAAAAAGGCTGTGTGTGACCGGCCTCAAGCAGTTGTCCTCTGGGCTATATATATATATATATATATATATATATATATATATATATATATATATATATATGGGTTATTTCGTATTTATGTGTATATTAAGTTTGTCAAACTGAAATACAATTGGTTATGATTATTTTGACTAAACAGGTGAGAATTAGTAAGTTTTGAGTGGAGTTACGTAATACAAAAACGGTCAAGAAAATTGGGTGTTAATGAAACTAGAGTAGTAACAAAGGTGATGAGTTGTCAAACAGTTGTTAAAAAGGAGTTACGTAATAATATGAACTAATATCTGAATACAAAAGCAAAAGTCCGCAACTACCTAACAAGGCGGTACCGAGAAGAATTAAAACAGTTGAGAGATAACAAAGATCTGCTAATACTCACCCCAACAAGGGTGCTAGTGTAGTGCTTCTGGATCGAAAGGACTAAATCGAGAAAATGAACAATATACTGTCAAATGAAGAGAAATTTTCCCAACCTTCCAATGAAAGAAACAAAACGGAACTGATTAAGAAGCAGCTGACAGACGTCTTGATGAGAATGAAGGCCAGTCAACTAACCAGTTGCGATATCTATGACCAGATCCAGCGAACAGATTCAATAATACCAAGACTTTATGGTCTACCAAAGGTACACAAGGTTGTTCTCCCACTTCATCCAATTCTGGATATATCAGGTTCCCCTTACCACTCTATTGCAAAATGGCTGGCAGATATTCTGGAACCTGTAAGGAAACAATTATGCAGGCACTGGCTCCGTGACATCGACTTCATACAAGACCTGAATGTATCTAACAAAATTATACTATCCTTCGACAATGGAAAAGGAATCAAAAATTCCCTTTCTTGATGTGGAACTAACAAGAAGAACTGATGGGAGCCTAAGAAGATCGATCCATAGAAAAGCTACTTGAAATGGTCAACTAACAAGCTTCTATAGCTGGGTACACATTCAACAAAAGCGGAATTTAATCAAATCACTTGCCACCCGCATCCGACGCATCTGTAGTCCCGATGTTCTAGAAACAGAATTAGATATTCTGAGAGAAATTTTCATCTAATATGGATACCCAATAAGATTCATTCACAAAAATATCAAACCACGAATTAGGAGAAACGAAACTTCACTTGCCCCGACACTTCACTTGCGCCGTAAAGGAAACTCTACATCAACTTGGATTTCAAGGGAGATTTAACAAGCGGTATTTTCAAGAGAAGGATCAAATCATCTCTGAAAAGAACATTCTTTGTAGCAAAGCTAAGAATACTGTTCTCCAGTCGCTCACTGATCGATCTGCAGAAACCATGACGGCAAGATCCCGCATCTGACCACTTCTAAGTGCATCTATCAGTTCACCTACTGTTGTGGAGCAAGGTACATCGGTCGTTCGACGTGAATCCTGTCCAAGAGGAATCAAAAACACCATCCAGCATGGTTGCGAAAAGGCAATAGTGGTGCAATAAGGAGTGCGATAATTGAACACCTGGCTAACACTGATCATTCCATCTCAACAAACGCCTCCTTCAAATTAATCCACAGAGTCAAGAATAACCTACCAAAGGCAATACGGTTTCGTCCTCTTTGTATCGCTGAAGCTCTGGCCATTCACATAGAAACACCGGAGTTGTGCATACAGAAGAGAATTACTCAACCACTTCTACTGTCATGGCAACAACTTTGTTGATTTTGATGACTTCATTTTGTTTGTTTACCTGTTTCTTTAACTACTTATAATTCTTGCATTCATTTAGAACTCTTACGTAATTTCGTATTCTCTATTTTGTTCCTATGTGTATCTTGAGTAAAACTCAATCATCAAACTATTCATATTATTACGTAGCTTCTTTTTAATAACTGGTTGTGACAACTCATCACCTTTGTTGCTACCCTAGTTTCATTAACATCCAATTTTCTTGACTGGTTTTGTATTACGTAACTCCACTCAAAACTTACTAATTCTCACGCGTTTAGTCAAAATAACTATGTGACGACAGAAAACAAGAGCCAGTCAACGGATCTTCGTTTTGAAAAAATCAACAGATATTTATGGATTTTTATGTACATTACTATTAGTTATTGTTAGCAGAGAAGCAACGTCTTCTGAATGGTTGTTATCTCGTTGAAGATTATTCTGTCATCTATTTGTTGCCGTTTCTTAGACAGTTCGTTGATATATCTGCTAATCATATACGCCCACGCTAAGTCCGTTGTGATTGGTTGTCGAGCTCCTCAAGGTTAGTCTTTGTTTTTTTCAAATAACCGAGATTCGGGACGTAAACATTGACGTAAATTGCTGTCTACTAATTTTGGCTAGCAGACAACTCTCACCACAACCAGAACCAATTGTATTTCAGTTTGACAAACTTAATGTACACACATATACAAAATAACCCACATATATTTGCTATTGTGCAACAGAATAAGTCTATTTTGTAGTTTTAGATAATATGACATGTGGAACTTCACTGACCTTATCTCAATCGAACTGGAGCTCGAGAAACAGCTGTTTCTCTTTAACCCTGGTCAGTTTTTACATATATAAAGCTATGTATATTAGAGTAAATCCTGAGGATCTAATTGAAAATAATATTTTTGTCTTATATATCTTGTTTTAATTTAACAATAGGAATATACATACCTTAGTTGTATTTTGACTGGATTGTGCATTTTGACCCGATTCATCAGATATATCTGAAATGTCTAAAACAACAGACGAGGTTGGAAAATACAAGATTACTTGATTTATATCACTTTCAATGAAACAATGTTTGGAATACTTTTAAACAGGTAAAAATGGTAGTGTAATAAAGAAAAATATGTGAAAACACTAAATTATTCGTTAAATTTACAGGTGAACAGAAAGAGTGTAAGCAAATACTTATAGTGAACAAGAAAAATTAGAGCGAATAATCGCTTTCACTAAGTTCTTTTTCATGCTCTACAATTATAAATCAACTAATCTTAGCATTCAATAGCTGGTAAAGCCAAATTAGAACTGTATCAGAAAGTGTATTGTGCAACATGTACAAGAAGGAATAATAGTGCTGGTACTCAGTTTATTTCTCTGTAGTATTCATATTGTCTCTTACACTATTGTCTACACTCTCCTATGAAACATGTAGTTTTGTTGACTATGTATATACACACATCACTGAATTATTTCATCACATTTTCTTACCGACCATACATATTCTAAGTGATAATCGATACTAACTGACTATTATTCCATCCTGTACCCGTTCCACAATACACTTTCTGATATTCTAAGTCAGGCAACAGCACAGTTACTCACCTGTGACACTGGCTGACGGTCGCGTTAAACATATATCACAAATTGGCAGAAGTTGGAATTCATGAACCATTGGGTCAGGTTCAAATGGCTAAATGGTCTACTAACGCCGTACAACTAGAAGGTGATGGATGAGTTCGACCCCCGGTGGGTGCGTACTGCCTAAGAGCTCCAACCAGGACGACACGGCTGTCCAGTACTCCCAGATTATCCAATGGTTCTCTAACCGATGTCAACTCGTGATCAATCCTGCAGCCACTGGCATCCTTGCAAACCAACACCTGATAATTCTAATTTGCCTTTACTAGATATTTTGTATGCGAAAATTATTGATTTATAGTTGTTGTAGAGCCTGAAGAAGAATTTAGTGAAGACAATTGTTCGCTCTAATTATCCTTAATCTGGATAAAATTCAAATTGCTGAAACATATATACTTCACTAACCAACTACAAGCACAGTAATGTATAAATTGGTAATTTTCAGTCAGTGGAATAAAGACTGATGAAATATATATTTATACACTATTTAGCTCAGATATGTATATGCATTTCAAAATTCAGAATACCACATATTAGACCTCAACGGTATTCATATTATGCATTACTTAGTCTTCAGTCCGTAGATATTGTCGTTATTCCATTAGGCTTCAACAATACATTTTTATTTCATCCTGGTCTCTGCAGTCCTCCTCACACGATCTCCTCCATGTCACCCTCGGACTAACTCGTTATCTCTCCTTCGTGTTCCACTCGAGGGCCTGGCACGCGATGTCACTTAGAGGTCTCCTCCATCTCCATTTTCACCAATGCGTTTGTCGGGAAATAGATTCTTGGTCAGTTCATCACCAGAGTTCTTTGTGCCTAACCCTTTCTAGTCACCTGATCTCCAATATGAAGAGAAGTCAGTTGTTGGCAAAAGTCTGAAGTCTGTTGGAAATGGTTTTAATGACGCGTCAATTCTCTCAACAGTATAGAAGAATTGACTTGACATTAGTGTTCAAAATTCGCAGTAGTTTTCCAAACCGATTTTCGAGTGATGAAGCTCTGCCGTTGTGTCTCCGATTCTGGTTTTGACATCCTCATCCGTGCTGTCAACTGTAATTGTAAAGACGGTGTCGAGATAAGTGAAAGATATAATCTCTTTCAAATATCTCGCGTTGATAGGGACTGATGATTGTGCTGTTCGCTAGGTACCTTTATCACCTCTGTCTTCTCTATGCTCAATTGGAGTCCTGTCTTCACGGACTACTTCTTCTGGCAACTTGTTCATTTCCACCTGTAGATCTTCGACTTCCCGTAACATTATACGTAAATTATCCACAAAGTTCAGGCCTATTAGGGTCTTCTTATCGGTCCAATGGATTCCCGTCTTATGATTCCCCACAGTCTCTTCAGTGACACTAGGCAGTCAGTCTTGTTAAGACAAGACTCCTGTCTTCACTTCAAAAGCTTCGCTGAGTTTTCCATTGTGGATCATTTGACATGTGGCATATGGCTGTTGAACGAGGTTGATGAAGAATAAGGACACTCTACAGTGTTGAAGCAGTTTGTAAACCACTTCGTGGTCAGCGCTGTCGAAGACTTTTTCAAAGTGATTGAGGTTGAAGCAGAGATTTGACTGTCATTGAATGCTCTGCTCAATGATGATGCATAGCGTTGCTAGACATTGCGATCAGATAAAAAAAACCTGAGTAAAACCATTAAAATACAGTAAACAACTTATTTAAACTGAAAATATACACAAGAGATTATAAAGCCATCCGATAGTGTTATAAACACTAAATTGTTGAAATAAGGGGTTAGGATGTGTACCGTGCAAATTTAAAATGTTTTCAACGCTAATACAGACTAGTAACAATTTATCAACGAAACGAAAAAGAATTCATTCATAAGCAAATATTTTGGCTCACTTCAAAAACACTTTATCTTGATGCTTTCCTTTCAAAAAGAAGTTCTGTAAAATACTTTTGAGAAAAAAGAGAAAAAAAAGCATTAGTACTCACCAGGCATTGAAAACGAATTTTTCGTAAATTGATATTTTGATCGTCGTTTGAAAATAGGCCTACGATACTTCGAAGATAAAGCAGAACGTTTGTTAGTCGAGTTTATAGTCTGGTAGGGAGTAGCAGTGTAAAATGAATTCGAGGTTCGATATGAGCAATCCGGACTCAAAGAAGCTGTCGGTGAATAATGTGGCTTGTGAACACATTGATTGACAGGATACTCTGTCTTGCTAGAGTCTAAAATCCAACGAAACATATTCATTCCAACTAAAAAACAACATAGGAGAATAGGACCGAATAAAGCACCTGCAGGACCTTGATAGTATATCCCACCAGCAATTGCAAGACCAGTGAAATATGGATGACCAGCTCTACAAAAGAACGATAAATCAAAGAGTCAGTACTGAAGAAAATAAAAATAGTATAAAAGGTACATTAATAGGACAAATTAGTGTTAGAACTACTTTGATGTTAATCACTGTCAAGCGAGAAATCCAAAACAATGTATGTTAATGCTACTCTACAGGTTGGTTAGTTATACATACAAAATTCAAGTTCTAATTCTGCATAAATGTCTATTCAATGTCTTATTCTACCATAGTGCTAAACTGCTTCATAACTGTTGGATTCGATTTTCAATAAACCGTTGACTACTGACACTAGAGAAACGTGTTCCCTTAGTGCATTTTGGTTTTCCTTTTTTCACCTTTATGATACTCGCCAATCGGACACTAGAATAACTTACCCCTCATCTAAGATAAGCTTCCACTTGTGTCTAATTTCAAGTTCTTATTTATAATGTTTTGTTAATTATTACACAGTTTTATGTTTCCAATGTTTAGAAACTGCTTTTGCTTCACTGAACATCTAAGATATCTCTCTTAACCCTCCTCCATTATTCACTGATGAACAGTTTTAGTGGAGATCAAAACTCTTGAACAGTAAAAGACCTTTCTGACTTTTACCATTAACTAATAACAAAAAATACTACTACTACTACTAATGAAATGCCTATATTCTTTATCAATAGAATGATTACATCACGGAAAGTATAAAAAATATCTGGATGTTTTACATAATGTAAAAGGGTGTTTAAAAATGTAGCTAATTAAAACCGAATGGGCCGGTGGTTCACGCCTCACGTGATCCAGGGTTCGATTCCTGGCAGACGCACCTACTGAACCTCGACTAGTCAGTCGGTAATAAACCTGATAAAGAGGAAAGTTTGAGCATGGGGCTAGCAGCCCCACTCCGTAAAATAGAAAACACCACAGCGTTTCAGGAACTTCAAAGCTCAAGCATGAAGTCCTATGTTCCACGCAAAGGAAGATTGATGACATGACATCATGATATGACAATTAAAACCAAAGATTTTGAAAAAGAAAGGGTAACATTGCTTATAAAGACACCTTCTTGACTGCCACCTATTTGAACTTGTACGAAATTCAGTTTCTTATGCCTTTAAATTACAAATTTTCTTGTCTTTTTTTCATAATTCTTGTTTTTTTATTCATTTTCAAAAGTATTTAGTTGGTGATGTCATTTAAGAATAAAGCTGCGAACTGTATCTACAAAGGCAGTTTTATAAACTAATTTTTTTTACTCTACCATGACAGTGGGAACTTTCTATTACGCATTCTGATTTTCTCTATTTACCGAACAACTCCTCGCTGACGTATGTGCTTTGATGGGTATAGTGTTGGCTTACGTTACGGAGTAGTGGTTAATTATTTCTGAAGAAGCATAACACAACTACATATGTCTAATAAAATTAATAGTGATGAGTGACTTGTACTAGATAGTAAGCCAATTCTAATTACTCAAACTGAGAAAGATAAAATTTCAACTTTTCACCAGCAAGTTAGCAGTTGCAAGATTTAACAAGTTCTTGAAATAATAAAGAAGATTTGTAGCTCAGATAGATTTTTTCAATGTGGTTGTGTTCTCTGAACTCTAAGTTTATACACAATCTATTTTGGAGAATTCAATTATCTTCACAACAGTGAGATAGCATAGCATACAGTCTTCATGTGCACGTAAGTCGTAAACAGAAGCGCTTAATTTTAGTGTATGGTGACTAGCGGTAGAATCCAGGGTGCACATTTCGTCCTATTTAAGACTGATCGGCTGGGTGCACTCCCCGGTGAGTAATGATCTTTCCATTGAGGTTCGAAACCAGTACCCATCGTTGTAAACGCCAAAGCGTTATCCACTAGATCACTTGAGCCACGACAGCCGGCTCTGGTGCTCAGGAGGCATCAGTTATTATTTGTTTTTAATTCACTTTCGATTTTCCCGTTGACTGAATGGACAGACATATCGGCCCCTAGTAACCATGGTTACTGGGTTCGAGTCTCAGTGGGAAAGCTAACACTCACTGAGGAATGCAGGCACATCCAGCTGCCGAGTCCTAAATAGGACAAAATGCCTATCCTAGATTCCGGTGGTAGCTACTATCCACCAAATTACTTCAAGTCAATCCTCAGACATAATCGAAGCGTTCGTACTAGACGACGACATGTCAACAGAAGCTGAACATTTCGGTTCGCTCAATCAACAAGCGAATCAAAATTGAATTAAAAAAACACACAAGAAGCGTTTTTTTTTCATAATAAAGTTATAATAAAAAAGAAGTATTATCAAAATAATATACTGAAATACCCTTTAATCTCCCTATAAACTGCGACGTCAACAACATAGGTTGGTAATACGTGAAAAAGTATGAGTAGACCAGCTTGAGTTAATGACTGACGAATGATTAAAATTTCAATTACACCGGGTAAAACAGCCCAATATGTGCCAATAATTGGAACAGCACCAAGTAAAGCAGCCAATACTAGAGACACAAAAAGAAAATAATGAAATGTAAATTATTTAGTCAATATAATGAACTTTTTTCGATTTATGTAAATGAATCATGTCACAAACATGTGAAAATGTACCTTACTTTGAACCAAGCAACTAACAATGCAAACGCTTTTAACCAGGATTTTAATTATTCGAAATCGATTTTGTGCTGCATTTGCCAACTTACGTCATCTCTGGCGTACACGTGATATCCGGCTATTAACCAGAGGACGTGTGTAGTGGAGAAACAGTTCTCCCTATCCTTCATTATGTCTGTGAGACATGACCATTGAGAGTGGAAAACATGAAAAGGTTAACTGCCTCTCATGTTAGGTGATATAATACGCCGAGTAATACTTAGATTAGGTGTAGAGTGTTAGGTAAGGAGGGTAAGTCACTCGATGAGGTTGTGAAGCTAAATCGACTGAGATGGCTAGGAGGATATGTGTGGCTCATGTCAAGCCATCACCTACCCAGACAACCAATGTTAGTCGATATTGGATTAGGTTGGAGAAGCGTTAAGAGTGGTCAAACTAAAACCTGGCATCAGTCCATGAAGTCTTTGACAGTTGGTTTGACCAAGGCAGAGAGATATACGCTTCCTAGTTGGGGTCCCCAGGATGCTAAGAACCAAGGTCTGGAGACTACTGGTGATATTGTGGTGACAGCTGTCTGCAAGCTAAAATTGCAAACAACAATTTACGTCAATGTTTACGTCTCGAATGGGGGTCATGGGAAAAAACAATGACAAAGCTTAACATTGAGGAACTCAACAACCAATCACAGCAGACTTAACGTGTGCGAATAACATTCGCAAACATATGGCCCAACTTTCTAAGAAACGGTCACAAGTAGTACACAATAACCTTCAGCAAGAAAACAACCAATCAGAAGACATTGCTTCTCTGCCAACAATAACGCTAATAATAATGTACATAAAAATCTATAAAATCTCTTGATTTTCTCAATAAACGATCTGTTGCCTGGCCCATGTCTTCTGTCGTTACAATATGACTTAAAATAATTCACATTGGCGCAGATGCATTCACTCTCTGGGATGCCCTATATCCACTAAACCGTCATGTTTTTCCATATTCCTATTCTTCTCCCTCACATTTCCATTTATGGTTATTTTCTAATTTAATTTTCTCTCTCTTTTGTCTACCTTTATGTGCTACATGGAATGTGGCAACTTGAACTGATACACTTTTGCGTAAAGTACTATGTTGAAATACAGTCAGTTAGTCGGTCAGCCGATCAGTCAATAACTTCCTGACTCGTTTACAAACGTTTCTACATTAAACCTAAACTCAATAATAATATAACTCATCTAGGCCATTACTTTATTTCAAATCGACCTTTTTAAAGCAACTACCAGAACTTAAGTGCACTTATGAACGGTCAATCCCAGTAAACTACCTGTATACATTTTACTTGTGTTAAACACCTTAAAACAATAATATTGTCCCCAATGATTAAATATTTTTCTCAAGTTCTAATCATATGATCACTATACTGAAATGTAAAAAATTCAAATTACTAAATTTTTAATCATATTGACGATTAAATGTCTCTCCTAGAAATGCTCACACCCATTCATAGCCTCTGTCCACTATGCCTTATTCAGTGCCTTCACTCAGCAAGGTGTGCTTAGAAAAATTAAAGGGCGAATGAGAATGACCAGCAATAATCGGAAGACTGGCGGACACAGGAAGAGTTGGAAGACCCTGATTCTAAACATATGGTGAACATGGATACAAAAGGAAAGAATGGTATATGGGTCTGATTTGGTTACTGTGGACCAGATCAACAGTCGTTACATGTCAGGGGGTCTTCGATTTATCAGATAGGATTATCCTCTGTTAGAGAGATGTGTTCCTTAGAAGTCTACCAGCATCCTCAAATCCTTGTACGAAAACACCTTACCATTATTCCAAACCAGCAGTGATGATAGACAGTGTCGTCTGATCTCACCATTCCTTTCTAACCGTGTCATTAAAGACATTCAGAAGACAGCTTTGAAGAACGTGTCTGGTGAAGTAGAGTGAGACTTCTTGACCTTGTGTTTACAGACAATACTGTGTTACTGTGTAATAACATACAGGCTATTTCATATCGCCATTAAATAAGTTGACGATTAGTGTCTACAAGCACGGTATGTGCTTGGCACTGTCCAAGTGCACGAACCTGTTTCTTCACTCACCCTCGCAGATGAGCCGTTAGAAGTAGTAGAGAAAGCTATTCATCTAGGTTATTGTATGATAGCTAATGGTGCAAGGGATAAGATTTCTGATGACATATCGAAAATCAGATCAGTCCTGGGACTGAATGGGAAAGACAGAGAGGCTGTGCCGTTGGATGATGGAAAGTTGTGTTGGATTGGAATTTGTTACAATATCACCACTCCCTACCTATGTGAGGTCCAAGAGACCATTCAGTGACTCAAGACATTATCATATATGGCTCAGAATCGAAATCAGTGACGAACATGCCATAATTTCTATTTTTTCTATTCTTTTTGAATTAATAAGAAATAGTAAAAGCTCCTTCGAAGGCACACCTGTTCTCATGTTTTGTTCCTCAATTATTTTACTTTTCCTCCCGTTATATTGCTCTTTTATCATTTTGTGTGGCACATTTGATGCCTATACTATGAAAAGTTAATTGTTGAAATCATTGAATAAGTAGACATACTATCCTGAGTTAAATTACGTTGTTTACATGATCAGCAACCTTAATATTTATCAAATCAATATAGTTACTATCCTCATATCATATGATTAATATACAGTATATAACTTTGAATACTGAAATGAAAGTTGAATACAACTCACCGGATGGAACTACTACAAGATCCAAGCCAAATATAGTATGAGTGAGTGATGTATACAATCCGTAGAATACAGCCAATTTCAATGTTGCAACAAATACTCCACTGATAGCCACTTCAACAGCTGAAGAGAAATGTGTAATCAATGCATTCATTTTAGGCGTACTCGGTGCTAGTGAAGTGATAAAAGCAACAGGCAGGTAACACGATCCACTAGCAGCCAGCACATAATAAAGAACTGTAAGAAATATCAACTGAAACAAAAAGAAAAAAAAACAATGACAAGGAGATATTGATACAATATTAACAAATATAAATAAAACACAAAATAATTGAGCAAAGAATATCCTTTTCGATAAATTCCTCTTCTGGCTCTACAATTATATATATATATGTTTATATACATAGAATATTCTAGATTAGTAGTCAATATCAATATTAGTGTTTTTTCAAAAATAATATCGATTTGTAAAGTAAGATCGCAATAGAATTAAATTTCATTAAAGATGCAAATAGAATATCAACTAAAATTAGGAAAATTCCACAAAAATTTAGGATCATTCAAACCTAGATGGTCAAGGTAAGGATAATGTCTGAACTAACTTCTTTTGGATGCACAAATTAGGCTTTTTATTATGGATCCCAACAGCCAGTCTCAGCAATATTTAGTAGTCGAACTCTTAAGGCAAAATTGAGATTCGTAGGTATACGGTAAATGAACCTGAAAGCATGATTAACGTCAATCTTGTGTTCTGTATCCACAAGATCAGATAGAATAGCGCTGCGAATAGATTTTGTTTGTTCTTTGCTTAACCGCACACACAATAATACTGTTATTGACTAGTAATCTAGAATATTCTATGTACATAAACATATGTATATATAATTGTAGAGCCAGAAGAGGAATTTATCGAAAAGGATATTCTTTGCTCGATTATTTTGTGTTTTATAAATGTCTGAATGTATAAATATAAATAACAAATTTATAATTCGATTCATACATCAGAAGGTATGGTTTTTTGTGAAACCAAAAATAAAGAGTAAATGAATACAGCCACTCACATCAACCAGTAGTAATTGCTCAGCCGAAAAGGACAGAAATGGTCATCCAGTGTTCAGATCACATTCGATCCGACTAGCAAGCACTACTATAGTTGATATGAATACTATCCAAACTCCTAGTGTCAATCAATCAGTAGTATACAGCGTTGTTATGCATGTATGCTTGTTTCTTTTTGATTGTTATTTATGAGTACCAAACAGGTCACACATATTAAAATGAGAATAATTTCTGTGTTTCAAAGGAAACTGTAGTGAAATTTCACCTCAAAGTGTGTAAATTGCAAATCGCAAATTTGATTTAAAATTTCAGAAAGCGTCTTCCTCTAACACCTACATCTTTGATCGGCTATGCGAATATCTTTCCTTGTCTCTTTTATCCGCTTAAAAAAGCTACCTAAATTTGGTGTTGCCAGTGTCTAACTGTTTGAAGTTATGTAATGGCAGAATTGTTTGGAAAATCCCTCCTACACGATCTAATCACAATTTTTGGACATATTTAAACTTTCCAACTAATTTTGTAATGATTATCCGTTTTTCTTTCTACTTGACTGCATATGATTGTTCTCATATTTGCATACCATATGTTGACTTGATCTTTTTTAGTTGTCTTTTTCCCTGTTTAATCTTTAATTGTAATGCTTCTCCTTGTGATTGTGTGATACATTGATTATGTGTTGTTATACGATGTGATTTTGTTTGAGTGAATGAAGGAGGTGATTCTCATCTTGGACTGTCCACGAGAGGCGTTGGTGCATGACTCTTGTGCATGAAGTTTTTACTCCCACTGTTTTGGGAATATTCTACTTGATTCGAAATACTCGTTTTGTACTTACATTGGGCGACACTGCTGAGGTAATTTTGAGTTTTTGATGGCAATATTGTTGAATAGAACCATAAATTTATCGAGGAATAATCGTCTATTCCTATCTTCGGACTGCGCGTGTCTCAAGGATGTTTTGTCAGCTATGAAGTAGGAAGCAGAGATCGGTTTCCTGCGCACAGACCATAACAATTCGGTTATGGTCGTAACAGTGTAATTCTGTCAATCATCATGGATAAATTCATTTAATAGTTGATGAGGCCATATCATATTTTTTAAGGGTTGATAATGCTGCTTGGACTAATCATACTTCGACAAATGTAGCAGAGTTCAAATGCTTAACACACATTGTTTGGAACATCTTAGTAATAATTTTCTATAATTGGTTTGTAAAGAATAGTTTTGTTTTTACGAGTTGATCACGGATTGATATCAGTTAGAGAACCATTGAAAACCAGGAAGTAGTGGACAACTGTTTCATCCTAGTTTGGGAATCATCGGCAGTACGCACCCACAAACGGGGTTCGAACCCAGGACCTTCCGGTTACAAGGTAAGCTCGTATACCATTCAGCCACTGGGACCTGATTCAGCGGCCAGGCCGTGAATTCTAACTTCTACCAATTCGTGATTTAGCGCGACCCTGACCAATGTCGTCGATGGGACATCCATCCTCACACGTGACTGGATGGACCTCACTGGTCACGACTTCTCACTAGAACTCCAGGAAACTCCATCCTGTAGCAAGTCACTAGCGAGCATCAGACTAATTTTCTATAATTGGTTTATAAGGATTAGTAATAAGTCAAAATATATTAAGCATAAGGTGATAACAAGATCGGATGGAATTTCAACTTATCAAACGAAACAATACAGTTAGTCAAGCAATTACATGGTACTGAAGCTAATACAATATTTAATAACTAAAATATCTGCCGTACAATTGGCTTTTTTTCCTCATTATACAAACAAGGATTTGATTGGTTTCAAGTTTAATCTCAGATAGAGAACCAGTGAAAACCTTGGATTACTGGCCAGCTGTTTCGTCCTTGTTTAGGACTCTACAACAATACATATCTATGACCACAAATGATCAAACCTGACATTAAAAAAGACCAAAATATATACCAAAGATATCCTTCTACTATCATGCTAAAAAGAGGGTAAGGAAAACTCACAAAAGCAATGATGAAGTTGACTGCCACATGTCCTCCACTCATGATTGACGAAAGTACAACAGTAATGAAATGTGCTATCAAATTTAAATTACTGCGTACAAAAATCCATAATGATTCTGTAACAGTTGCCAGTGTACCCAAATTCTGTTTTATAATTACAAACAGCTAAATAAGAGGAATAGGAAGACAGACACATATTTGAGCATACACAGAACTGGTAGCATAGCTCTAATAATAAAGATAAAAATCGTCAATAATAATAATAATTAATCGCCATTATTATCAATGCAGTATAGATCTCTAAATGTCAGCCAAAGTTTAAAACAACGATACACATTTAATGTATTCAGCTTATCAAGACACTCTTCACAATAATGATCATGCTTTTTGTTTTTATAATTCTATTACAGTTTGATGGCTGTAGTGAAAGTCACTAATTAATCTGTCATAGAAGCTGGAAGAAAATCCATAATGTAAAAACATAAAAAATGAATAACGACACATTAACAGTACCGTTTTTAAAATCCTCGGACGATGGAAACATAGAAGTTAGTACACGTTGATAGTAGATAGAAAATGTCTACAGTATTGACCCAGACAGCTAAGAATTCGGTAGATGCTTAACCATAGCACGGTGATTTTAACGTAGCCTTCAGATAAAAGTGATTTAACATCTATCCGTGGGAAAATAGTTTAGAACATATGACTTCTGATATTTACATATGTATAAATAATGATATTAAGATAAAAATCAGCAAGAGCGCTTTTTATGCAACAGTTCGATGAGCACTGCACCTTTATACTTAGACGGTTTTAAATGACAGTGTAAATAGTTTACTAACTTGCTTGTGGAACTATGATCCTTTGGTGTAGGCCCAATCGATAGCCACTACCTTGATTTGGTGGTTGAGCATGCATATACAGCATTGACTCAATCAGCTATACCAACTGGAAAAAATGTTCCTTCAGATCCCTTCATGCTCGAAAGAGGGGGAGGGGGTAACATTAAAGTGCCGTTATTAAGTAAACTGCCAGCTATGCTGTCTTCCCGCCCGGGAAAGAAGGTACTGAAAAAAGGCTGGTCACGAAATCTTTACATATTAGTTTACTTTACAGCAGTCCCTAACCAGCGATAAGGTCTTCTATACCGACGAAGCTCCACCTCAAAAGAGGTCATGTGTGGCTGGCCTCCAAAATTGGTTATCTAATCTATGCAGAGGAGCATCACTAATGCTTTTTCTCTTTTAAGTACCTCAGGAAGAAATCAACTTCCAATATGGAGGTAGTCAGGAAGTAGCAACTGTACATACACTCACTATAAAGCACACTATGTTCTACTCCTTATTACCCATCTTTATCTTTTTGGTCACATCTAATTATCAATACCACTCTCCAGACAACTCCACTTCCTCTTAATTTTGTGACAATCGCTAGTGTTTTCAACAGGAGAAAATTCATCCAAAATCTCTTAAAAACATGCTACTAACTTTATTTTGAAGTTTTCAATTTCTGAACCTTATACCTGATCGGATAGCAGCTTCCACTGGCCAAAACTCTGGCATCCCAGGCTTTGGGAGTATGTTGTATCTCTGAAATACATATACATCTCTTCAACTCCACACGACTGAGATGAGGAATCTACAGAGGTCATCTTAAAACTATCAGGAGATTTTTCGCCTAGTTCTAATGAACTTGCAAGTGTAAGGATAGCATTAGGCTACATTTCTTGACCCAAAGACAACATTTCACTCCATCGATCAAGAGGTGCTACGAAGGCGATTTCAAAAAACTATATTGTACTGATCAAGGGGATCTATTTGAATTCATACCCTAATGTAAGCGTTTATGGAGGGCTGTCATCTGAAGTGAAGACAATAAGCGGTATCCGACAGCGATGTCCATAGTTCTTAATCTCATTTCATTTCCAAAGGAATTAATTAAGCACATGATATGTATACAAAATACAGTATTACTTCCTATTAAAAGCTGAATACACTTCAAGCAAAGTAGAGAAAAAATCAAGATAAAACAACAATTTTGTCAAAATAAAAAGATGAATACCGATAAAACTTACAGAACTCAAAGCATGACGATTAAATATCCACGTTGTGTTGATAGAAAATCGATTCGATGATACAACTCCAAAAGTATTTGATACAAGACGACTTGAATTCACGTGATTATGAGTGTTATTAGGCAGGAAAGGTAAACTTGGTTTATGACTTCTTGACTCATCGATGGCTACCGTATTGTTGATAGGCTATAAATTTGGTTCAACAGAATGAAGCATCGATAATAACTTAATATTTAGAAGTGATATGATTGATAAAAACAAGTCAACACAGGGAATTACTACCCCCGGTTAGCTGAATATCAACAAAGACGAGGTGTTTAGGCAGTAATTCACCAGAAACATTCCCAACAGGAAACAGACTTTTATCAATACCTGCATTCGTTTGCTACTGAATACCAAATGGCCGGCCAGAAAGGATTAGCGACAAGGAATTCTGGCAACGAACCAACCAAGAACCTACTTCGCCATAAATATACCGAAGAAAACAGAAATGGATTGGATACGCGCTGAGAAGACCGTTGAATGACATCACTCACCAGGCCTTCAAGAGGAACTCGAATGAGAAACGACGAGTTCGTCATGGAGATCGTGTGAGGAAGAGATGAGAGCTTATGGGCAACCATCAAGCCAGCTAAAGACAACTGAAGAGAACAAGATGAAATGGAAATGTGCTGTCGAAGCCTTAAGTTCCACATGGAACCCGAGAGAACAATAATAATAATAATAATAGCCATCATGTAGCATAAACCACTCTAAACAGAATCAATACCATTGATGAGTAACTTTCACCAGCTGCACCTGTATATTTTTCAGTAGTTCATCTATTACTCAGCTATCGAGGTAGAGAACAGTAAAACTAACAACAACATGTTTGAACGTCCTACATAGTAATTAAATGTAAACCAATTAGACTTTTCATACAAAAGCTATGAAATATTCAAAATCAACTTATTGGATATTTCCTGATATGAATTCTTTTGGATCAGATAGCGTTTTTGAAACAGAAATATCTGTTTATTAGATGAAACAGTGATAATTGGTTTATTCTGCACCGATAACACCATGAAATTAACAGGGTCGACTACAGTTGGATGTCTGTACCAATACTCTGAAACAAATATTATTACTGTAGTTCACAACTTCCGGTTATTTCACTATGCTTGACAGAAATGATCGGCCTCCATTGAAATGTGAATATACACCACATAACTGTAACAAGCTTTAGTCCTATGAATGCAACTGATATAGATATATCAACAAAATTACATTGAGCGAGGAAATATGCATTCCTCATCTTCGGCTCTACATTAATATATAGTTTCTTACATCGAAATTGTTTTCTTACCAATCAAGTGGTTATTTTAGTTAATCAGTTTTAGGTATAGGAGGGTGAAATTTAGAGGTTAAAGGTCATCAAAACAATTAACTAATAGATATTAGTAACAAGATATCCGAGTTTTAAAGGAAGCGTGAAATTTAATTACGCGGAATTCAAGATAAACTGATTCTTAGGCGTCAGCAACAAGTTATTACATAATCGAGAAATTTGTAAAATAGCAATGATGACTAAGGAGAATAGGATGACTCAGAAGAATTACGTAAAATACAAACAAGTTAACAGAATTACAATTTTACGATTCTAGCTAATTCTGTTAACTTGTTTGTATTTTACGTAATTCTTCTGAGTCATCCTATTCTTCTTAGTCATCATTATTTTACAAATTTCTCGATTATGTAATAACTTGTTGCTGACGCCTAAGAATCAATTTACCTTGAATTCCGTGTAATTAAATTTCACCCTTCCTTTAAAACTTGGATATCTTGTTACTAACATCTATTAGTTAATTGTTTTTGGTGACCTTTAACCTCTCAATTTCACCCTCCTATACCTAAAACTGATCAACTAAAATAACCACTTGATTGGTAAAACCAAAAATTTCGATGTAAGAAACGATATATTAGTGTAGAGCCGAAGATGAGGAACTGATTGAAAAGGAATATGTTTCTTGACTCAATCTGTTGTTTTTTCTAAAATTACACTGACGTAGCTGCAAAAAAATTTTTTTTATTATAAGACCATCAGAAGTCAATTGCCTTGGCTCATTTGAAGTAAAATGACACAAAAATACAAACCTTGATGGCAATAATGAATACTTATTGCTCAGGAGGTGGATTTTGTGACTCAAACACATAAGGAATAAGATTGAATCGTTAAAAATTACGGTTTCTGCATTCCATTCTCGGTGGAGATAAAATAATTCGCTAGAATGTAGGTAAATCTACTTGACAAGTACACAGTATACATCTTTGATTTCATAGCTAACCATCATCAAAGAAATACTTATTAGACAGATGACGCTTCTTAAGTGTGTAAAGTTAGATTACAATACTGACGAACTGACTGACTGGCTGCATCGATGTGCAGCAGTTCAAATAGCCACACTTCACCCAGTACACAAAGACAGAAAAGAAAGTAAAAAGAAACGCGAAGAAGAGACAGTAGACAGAGATATGAGGCATAAACAATAGTAATATTGAAGAACAATAAAGTTTTATTGCATATTTCAGGTCAAAAGGAGTGGATGTATCTGGGCCATCGAGGACGATTTTCAACCATATCACTAATTGTCTCCAACCATTGGTTTCTACCGTCCCGAAGACCCCAACCAGAAAGTTTACATCTTCCTGAATGGCTGGCTTAAACTAACTGTTGGAGATTTCATTGACTGATGCCATGTTTTGGTCTGACCAACTCTTTTCCAACTCGATCCACACTATGTCAGCTAACATTGACAGTCCGTCAAGGAAGGCAATGACTAGGCATACCTGATACGTGTCCTAGCCATCTCAATAAATACAACTTCACTGCCTCATCAATTTGTTCTCCCTCCTCACCTAGCACTCGACACCTCATCTCAATATTGCTCAACCTATTATACCAATTAACACCGGAAATACAACGCACGAAGACGCCTACGATCAAGGATAGCTAGGCAGTATTTTCACATCTTCCACTCTCAATGACCATGTCTCAGTCACAGCCGTAAAGGAAGACGGAACGAACTGCTGAGGCGTAGTACACACGTCCTTTAGTCGACAGCTTTACACCGCGTCTGCGGTAGAGATGGCGTAAGTTGGCATATACCAAACGAACCTTCTGCATCTAACCTGAAAATTCTTCAGCGATCAACCCGCTGGCACTGACTGATGCAACTTTCCAAATAAGTGAAGTGGTCAACATGCTCTGCTAATCACTTCACTCTCTATCTTTAAGCTAGGATTCAGTGTAGTCCAGTCCTTTAACATCATCTTACATTTGGTGGGAGCGAGTCGCATGCCAAACATTCGAAGAATGGTGTTCAAGGTATTTCAGAAGACTCTGCATTTTGCCAGTGTCTTCACCAAGGAGGACCATACCATCTGCATATTTTACGTCAACGAAAATATTATTCCCTGATGGTAACAAGTACAATCCCTCCGTCCCTGAAGATTACAATAGGACGTTACTGATGAATGCTTACATAATTACATATTTAAAAAAATATAATTTAATAGTTAGGTCTCAACTATTCACAAAAAAGATTACGTATTCTTATGAAGACAGTGCGATAAGGTAAAGTAAATTCATGGAAATATACGTGTGTACAAGTATAAACTTATAAAGATTCTCAATATACTGATAACGTCTGTACCTCATACAATGCTACGTTGCAGAGCACTACAACCTTTCCATAAATCTCAAGCTACTGGATTCCTATTTCTCTTTTTTTTCATTATCATTACTAAGCATTACAAACTAACACCTGAAAACTAATCTGATACTCACTATTGACTGACTGCAGGACGACATATGGTTAGGTGACCTTGAGAGGCACTCTACCTTGATGAATTAAAACAGTCAACAACTAATAGGATTTCAAGGTCATAGGTAATGTAAAAGTACATGTAGAAAATTAGGTCAATATATCACGGGATGAAGTTGCCTGGAGTTCTGGTCAGAAGTCGTAACCAGTGGAATTGACCAAATTGGATATGAGGACAAATACTGGCTGACGACAGTGGCTGGCGGAGGCGATGAAAATAGCGAATTGACAAAAGTTAGAACTGATGAGGAATTGGATTCCATCCCAGTGGTCGAATGGTCTACGACCACGCCACAAAACGTGAGGGTACTAGGTTTGATCCCCGATGGGGTCATGGGCTCATGCTGTAAAAGAGTCCTGAACTAGGACGAAACAGCTGTTCAGCACTCACCTTAGTTTTCAATGGTTCTCTATATGACAACCAATCATCGAATCCCTACGAACTAACACTTGAATATACAAAAATAACTGTTGAAATACGTATAAAAACGTAATTGCTTACCTGATTTATAAAAGAATTATAAACATTCTCCCATAGATCTAAAAGTTGTTCTTTCAATATAGCCTTTGAATTTGGATCACCTTCAAACAGTTCATTTGTCTAACAGAAATATGGATAAAGCAAATCAAAACCAACATACAACAGTTAAACACTAAATCAGCTAATATAAACAAACGATTAACTACTAAATTTAGATAATATGAAAATGATATTTTTTTTAAACTGCAAGAATGATTAAAACAATAATGGGTAATAACGATCAATCATTTTTCACATTATTAGTCTGATTATTTTATCTAGGAATTCAAAACTGACAGGTAAGATAACACTGTCTCGTATCAGTCTCCACCAGTTACACAGGCGACCTATTAAAGTTGACATTTCGTTTACGTGACTAGAAAAGAACAGTACTTTAGTCCTTATATTACCACTTGACTTATGTATGATATATTCAGTGTATGCGATGACATCTGTTTTTAAATGGTATTCTTAACACCAATGGGATATTTAGATGCCAGAATGACTATTAAAGTTACTCTTACAAACTTGACCTATGGATTTTGTCAGGATTAACAGTTAATAAGATACACTGATGACTATCCAACGATGACTTCATGTAGAAACTAATTCGTAGTGTGGCGAGTGCTACTGATAAGATTTATCAGTAGTATAAAAACATCAAATATCAAGGAGATACAGAGAAGGAAAATGATACACCGTTGTGGAGATACATGGGAGACACGAAACGAACACAAAGAAACACAATATGAAGGCCAGAAGTACCAAAACACGGAAGATCTGTGCAAATGGTGCGTTGAAGAAAAGGTGTACATAATTTGGCTATATAGAGATACCAAATTCCTTTACCAAGTCTTCGTCTTCTACTGTAACAGTAGCATATCAAAGTTAAGAGCAAATACGAAAATTACGAAATTTACCAAAGTAACTTAATAGTCATCTAATCAGACTAGGAGATCAAACTGGGATGGGGTTGCTAACCTCACGACCAACCTTCCCTCTTTACCGAGCCTACTACCAAGCTAAGCGACGTTTAGACTGAGTCGGCTGAGGATCGAACCCCTGACCACGTGAGTAGCTGGCGACGCACAACATCTATCTAAGACCTGTATATTCACAGATATCGACATTCATTTCACGATTTTAATAAATGGATAAATGAAATAGCTTTATGTGTTGATTAGTTCATTAGAGATCACCTTAGCAACTGATCAAAGTGATTTTTTGAGTAAAAGGATGAATGTGTAATGCAACTTAGAATACAATACAATTTTTAATAAATGATATAGAGTTCAAGCTTTTCTAGTCTCCGTGCATTAACTTGAGGAAATATTCGTCTCCAATCATTCATTCATTCATTCATTCATTACTGAAACCTAAATAAAAATGCCTTTAACCAGAATAATTTGACTACGGAATAAACAAGAATATGGCTGACTTATACGTTGTCAATGATTATGAACATTGAACGTTTGTTTATTAGCCTTGGTTGCCATTGGCGGGCAACTCGAAGGCGCGAATGGTTCAGTCGTGTACAAGTTGGAAGAAGACGAAAGAATACGAATAAAAGTACAGTACATTCCTTGTAAAACATTTGTTTATAGACTCTTGTACGATAAAGATTTTAACTGCCGAACAATACAATTTCTTTCTTACAAGTCCTTGTGTTTTGGAGTTAAAGTCGATAATCGTACCTAGTAATTATCGATTCGGAGCGTCTTCGCAAATAGTAGGAACTTAGGGTTAAGTTCCTTGACACTCCTCAACAAATCAAAAGTGATGACACCTTATACTCTACTGAAACAAAATAAAAGGAACTTTCGTGTACTCTTCGATAAAGCGCGAACAGACTTAGGAGGATATACAGCGGGGCGGAAAACATAGGTCAGACAGACTGAACTTACTCTATCAGATATCCAACTACGTCCTGCCTGATAAGCATTTGCAGCCAAGACGCCAAACATACCATCAACTTGTTCCTTTTTAGGCAGCCAGCTATAAAAACAAAGTGAACAGAAATGTTACTTTGTATAATTCATAAATTGCAATTTATCAGAAAGTGATAGAACAAGACGGGAATTCATTTATTTAGTAACCTCGACACTTGGTTTGCCTAAAAGTGGTCTGCACAAATAGAAAATGAAGAGCTTACCGAAAACACACATGGAACCATAGAAAGCAGAAAACTGAAGATAAAAATGTGGCAAAACAAATAACACTTGAACGCTTAATATTAAGTTTTGTTTTCGCAGACAAACTGAAAGGTTCATAGATCGCCTTGGCGATATACCCCCCCCCCCCGATGTACATTGACTTTACGTCATTTACTCAGTTGAGTAATTTATTTACGCAATAAAAATATTCATTGGTTATCAACAAAACATCCACTTCAGTCTTTAAAAACGCCACAGGTTAATTTTTATTTCTTGGTCCTAAATGCTAAAAAAACATCATATCAACAATTGGAGTCAATGAATGAAAATGTGTTGTGTTGTGTGATATATCTTGTTGTAAGAAATCTTCAAAGGATACAGTAGTATGACGTCATTCTCGAAAATGAGAGGTTCTTAAGTAACCTTGAAGTTACCATGATAATAAAATGCATTTGAAACCAATTTGTGCTCTAATAATAAGAGAGCCACCAGTACTCAAAACTTTAACTATATGACTTACTCTGCGGAGCTCTTTCAGGAAATTTAATCTCAAGTAAATTCTTTCTTTAATATGAATTAAATACTAAATTTAGAAAATGCTTCATTCCATTGTTTTCATTTTACAAAGTTGAATAAGATGAAGAGAACAGTTACAGTTGAACGTGAATTTGTAAATTACAGGCATTCAAGGCAATCACTTTATTAAAGACTATAAAAAAGCACAGGTGGCCAGCTTAAATCATTGGATTACTTAAATTTCTATTCAGTAGAATGAATGCATAAACTCATCTCCATTTCTTGTTGTTGTAATCATCTAACTGCGTTTTTGGATCGGTATATGAACTCGCGCACAGTTTTAGTTTAGTTTAATGCAGAGGATTTGTGAACAGAAATGGGGAAAAATATTGTAGAGATTTGAGTATTGCTTCAGATGGAACACAACAGAGTCACACGATGTACTTGCTGAATATTTCATTTTACTTGAAGGTCCTATACGAGGAGTAGATATTTTGCAATTTAAATATGCTGAAAATTCTGTGCTACGTGTTAACATATCGTCTTGAATGAAACTTTTACTATTAATATAAATGTATATTATGAAGAAATGTACTGACTAAAACCAAAGACAATATATTAATTCAGTATGACTAAAATAACACTAACAAGGGTTAGTCCATTTATCGTATGAATACATATTCTACAGAAGGTATCGGGGAAACCTAGGAGTTAGAAACAACGGTATCCTAGAATTATCAACAGCTAACATTAAAATTCCATATTAGAGAACCTGGGAGTACTGGACAGATGAAGAGTCCCAAGATAGGATGAAACAGCTGTGCGGTGCTCCCAGGTTTTCCAGTGGTTCTCTAACTGATGTCAGCCCATGATGAAATCAGATATGATGGAGAAGATTTGTAGCTCAGGTGGATAATTTTGATGTGGTTGTGTTCTCTGAACTTGATAGTTAATTTGCGAAGCTTTCATCGCCTTACTAGGCAACATCTTCAGTGCATACTTCAATTTGAAGTGTGCTTTGAGATTTCTCCACGAGATGGTTATTGAATCATTCCTATTACACGTGTTTACAGTTGATTCGATAAATAAAGCTCCCTTATTAATATATGTGTAAAACTTGGGCACTGTGGTAGTAAGTAATTCCATATTAGTTTGTTTATTAGGTATATCACACAGTGAAACAGTTGATATGATTATGAACAATAAATTTTGTTCGAAACGTCATCCAGTAAATAATACTGTTTCACTGTGTGATATACCTAATAAACAAACTAATATGAAATAAAGCTCCCGTTATCATTCTCTCCCTCCACCCTGTCATATTAGACTATCATCTTATCCCACCATATTATATGGTTGTGTGCAATTGCATGTAGTGCTATAACTGAACTATAAAAAAACCTAGCAAACTCTAGGTTAGTTGACCTGAATAAGATAAGAAATCTGGAGAATAGTTCAGCTATAGCACTACATGCAATTACACACAACCATAGAATAGGGTGGGATAAGATGACAGTTTTAAAATCTAATATAACATGATGGAGGGAGAGATTGATAACAAAAGTTTTGTTTATTGAGTCAGCTGCAAATACGTGTAATAGGAATGATGCAACACCTGTCCAGCAGGACATCTGGATAATTCTACTACCCCTACGACAAATAGGAAAAGACAAAGAAAACTATAAAACTCAAGTTTCAAAGTCGTGTGATTATAATTGATATGATTATGAACGCAATAAATTTTGTTCGAAACGTCATCCAGTAAATAATACTGCTTCACTGTGTGATACATCTAATAAACAAACTAATATGGAATTACTTACTACCACAGTGCCCAAGATTGACACATATTAACCTAACATTATATATATATATATATATATCCTTTAAGTATGGATACAGAGGAATGTATTTTTACTATATGAAGCAAGCAAATGAACAGGATTTAGAAAGTAAGAAGTTAGTTTTGAAATGACGAAAGTAAGAAGAAAAAGTGACAGACAAAGAAAAATAATATCATGAAATCAAATGACTTAAATTTATTAAAAGTTGCCAGTTAAAAATAAAACTCATTACTGCATTTTTTTTGAGTACAAAGGGCAGAATATTCATTCAATTATTCGATAAATAATCAATTTTTTGAAATGTTAACAATTCTGCATCACATAAAGTTTATTCTGTATATAATGTTTATTCTATATGATGATGTTTTGAGCACAAATTATTGCTCACACTGATATCAGTGTATTCACATGACTTCTTAACTTTCTCTACATTGACTATGAGTAACTAATCGTGCTCGAAACACCATCCAGTTATTCATACTGTATTACTTTGTGTAATATCAAAATAAACTTATCTAATAAGGAAATATACTGTAATTACATAAATATTAAAAAAACTCCCAACTTCCTTTAATTTTAACTACCTTACATTCAAGTTATCATTTATCAGTTAAACAAAATAAATTCGCCAAAAAAGAGACCCTTCGCTGAACTACTTGTCGTGTTTTATTAATCTGTCATCTTAATCTATGCAATGTGAGATTTTATTCCAGAGACTTTCCAGGAGTATGCGACGAACGCTTTATGCAGCATACCTATGTTTGTCATTCTCTAGCCAACGAATGATTGGGACTCAAACGAAGGATAAGCTAGATAGTCTTGCCATATCTGTGTGCATTTATCAATTCAACTGCACCTGCGGTGACAGTTATGTTGGGCGTACTACTAGACAGCTTAGCCAACATGTCACCACTGAACATCTCCTATCGTGGTTTGGCAAAGGACAGACAAAAACAATCTGTAGCTCAATCTTGTCACATTTAATTGATAGTGGTCATGTAGTGGAGAAAACGAGAGCTTTCAAAATAATTCATCGTATCCCACTGAATCTTTCCAATAGACTTCGTATTCGTCTATTGCACACAACTGAAGCGATAGGCATTCGAAATGTTAAACTTAAACTATGCATTCAAAAGAAGTTCGTACAGCCATTATCCCTCCCTTGCTGGCCTATTAAGACATAACCAACTGATGACTTCTACACCACGCCTTACTCATATTATATTTTCAACCCCTCCCTTATCATCCCTTAATCTTATCACATCTTCAGTAAAAACGTGTTTCATTTACTTCCCTTACAATCTAGCATTACTTAATCGGTTCATTTGTTTTTCTTAGCCTTTATCGACTACTGTGTCTACCTGAACATTTGTTTGTTTAATCATGCTGTTTTTCGTTATTCGTGTTGTCACTTTTTCATCCTTATTATTGATAGAACCATTATTATTATTATCATTACTACTATCATGACAAATCGCACAATTTATATTCACCATCTTATTATCCTATAGACAAAACACTATGATTGGTTTATATTTGAACTTTTATTTGTAAAGTTATGTATTTTAGAGTTAAGCCTGATGAGATGTAATTGAAAACAATATTGTTCGCTTAAATGTGTTGTTCTAAATTTTATATAAATATGTAAAACTTGTATTATCTTTCTACTGTCAACACTATAAGTTGTGTAGCGGATAGTAAGAATCCATTGAACAAACGAACTCCTACAACCATTTGTGTGAATATATAGCAAAACAAACTTGCCGCGCTTTCGTTTCACCCTACTTAAACAGGTAGAGTGAAGGCGGTCAAATACAATTTGAATTTTCTCAGGTAGTTGACCTTATGTGATTTTGTACTATGTGCTTAGAAGAATGCTGTAATCATATCAGATGCTGTCTTTGGCTATTTTAAAGGTGTTTTATCAACTTTTTTTTACATAGTTGGATTCTTTATTGTCACATTTGCTATACGATGCGTTAGAAGAAGAAAAAAACACCTCACAACCGCTTTTGTATCCTCACTCTAACTATTCTTCTTACCCATGTGAAAGGAAAGGAAACACTTACTAAACGGTTAACAGTTACAAAATTCGGCTCAAAAAAAAGAAAATATCTAACAAATAATATTCTACTGATAAATAGATTTTAATTATGAAATAGTTATAAGTTGATAACCGACACAACGGTAACTACAAGTGGTAAAATCGAAGTCTACTGACTGATTTTTTAATATGGTCACCAAGGTAACTACCACAAAACTACAGTGTACTTTATATATCAATTTTCAATCGCTATTGCACAACATTTAAGTTCATATTGCTTATTGTGCAGCTGTATAATCTACCTACATGAATCAATGAAATGCAATGTAGGCGTGATTTATTATACACAAAGTGCAGGTAAACAAACAAAATTGTTAACAAACTAGTTAGCAAAAAATGAGGTAATTCTATGCATCTACGACAAATGATTAAAACTAA